TAATTACAGCATGGTTAACTTTACTAGGCTTATCAGAGAGCTGAAGGGCAGAATGGAGATTCATTGAATGGCACCATTCAACTGCTAGAGACTACCTGCTAGAGCACTCCATTTTTTCACTCAAATCTGCGAGTAGACAAGCACAATGAATAGACGATAAAGATGCTTGGAACCGATATCCACACAATCAATGCTAGTGACAGCAAGAAAGATGAAAGTACCCATCAGGTAAAGAACTTGAAAATTCCGAAGAAGTACACTCAAACGGCAAACCTGCGTGACAACCTGCAAATTGCAGTCGGCTCCCGGGTTATGTTGACCGTCAACATCGACACAAATGACGGACTTGTGAATGTTTCTCCTGGTACTGTCGTTACCATTATGCGGAGAAACATCGTGTATGCAGTCATGGTTCAATTTGACAAGCAGCAGGAGAGGCAGCATGCAAAGTCAGGCAACCAGTACAGAGAAGCATATCCAAATGCTGTTCCAGTGATTAGATATGAAGGCATCTTCTATGTTGGCAAGAACAAGACTGTTCAAATTTCCACTCAATCAAGCATGGGCTTGCACTATCCATAAAGTACAAGGAATCCATGAAATCATTGTCGCAATAGAAGGGAGGTTTAATCCTGGCCAAGCACATGTCGCCCTCAGTCGTGTATCATCGGTTATAGCAGCGGGCTACGCATTCTTAAGCCGTGGGATATTTTCAGAGCAATGACATCATTACTAAATCCAGAATCGTTGACTAGTCGCGACGTCTAGAGCACCACAGCGCATGCGCGGGAGAACTAACGGTCAGTCATGAAGCCACGTCGCGAAGGGCGACCAATGAAAAACGTTTGGTAGTTCTTCCCGCTGGGAACGTTCCCGAGAACATGTCAGCTCACACTTCATGTCAGGCGTTTATCTTAACCTTAGCTAGCATGCACCGAGCGCCTTTGAGCTTCTTACCCGCCGTTGCCGCGCGGCACTCTCATCTCATAAATTCCCACTTCAAATTGAAGTGCCAAAACGATTAGGCGCTCTTCTTGTCTTGAAGAATAAATGACTACTGGGCACGTGTAGTTAGGCCCAGGTACGCCTGTTTGAAGCTCCCGTCGATACGCACAGTGCACGATAGTGGTGGCGCCAGGCGTCGGCAAGAGAGAGATACGTAAATATGAAGTTACACGCTTATGCGTTATAGTTAGGTATGTGCCTGTACACTCACTGCGGTAAGAAGTGTATGCGCGCGCGGTTTCGACAGAAAGACAAAGCGTGAAGAGAGCGGCACGAAGTGACGTCATGCTCACGCGTGTTGCTGTAAAAGTGGGAATCTGTGTATATAGTAATTAACTAAACATGAGATGCGCAAACACTTTGCGTGCCGGTACGCGGTCATAACTTCGTGCACTGGCGCGAAAGTAGCTCAGAATCGTGCGAGATGCGTATGCGCGATGTAACGAGCAGAATTGTAAACCTGTATTATACGTGTTAGTATAGTACGTAGATACGACCTCGCTGTTACCTACTCGGATTAGGTAGGAAGAGTGAGGAAGAGTCGCGAGGATGGATTGTGCGACATCACGCAGCAGGTATTCCCCTAGGGAAGGATGGTGAAGTACCTGGATGCGAGATAACTTTGGGGGAACCCGAAGAATTGGTCGGGGAAGCTTGGCCCGAAGGGAGGCGTGATAACGTCACCCAGTGGCAGAGCAAAGAAGAAACCGATGCGGTCAGCTGATTGGGCGAGGCGTAGGTAGGAGCTATGTGATTGGATATTAGGAATCTGCTGCCGGGGTAGAGATGTGTATAAACCAGAAAGCAGAGATGAGTGAGGCACTCTCACCCCATACACCGTGGGGTCTGCACGTGCTACGGAAGAACCGTATAATAAGAGAAGAGACTGAGGCTGAGGAGCAGTATGCAGCCGAGGGGGAGGCGTGTTCGCCGGTGGAGAGAGAAGGTGTAACCCAATGGGATCCCGACGATGGGTGGTGTACCTCCACCCGCTCTGAGTTGGTTGCTGGCCATGAGCCCATCGAGCGGCCAATTCCACAGTCGCGAGGTTTCCAGTGGGGAAATGGGGCCTTACAAGTGGGCCAGGTGCGTGGCCTGCGAGGTCCCCACCCAACAAGGGGTTGCACACCATGAAGAACTCCACGAGGAGACTGGAGTGTACTACTGCTGCCCGAGGCGGGGATGCCCCTACGAGATGCCCGTGTCGGCGCCGGGGCAACTAAACAGCCACCTAACAGTAATCCATCGGACGAGAAAGAACTGGATGCGAACGCGGTGGGTGAAAGCGAGAGGCCGGGTCACGGCCTACGTCAGAGGCAACCCAGGATATCGCCGGAGGCCGGAGAAGCATTAATCACCGGGGCTACCCCGGTGGGACAGCCGCTCGCCAGCGGGCGGCCGCCTTCCCCGGGGGTAAAGATAGAATCGGAAGGCAGACGGGATTCAGCGATTGGACGCCAGCCGAGTAGAGGGGTTCGTGCAGCGAAAACCCGAACCCACGCCGAAGGAAAGCTGCCGCAAGGCGACGGCAAACAAGCGGCGAGCTGCGACGGGGAAATTGGCTGCTAGCAGTCAGCGGCAGCCCACGCCTTCCTCTGTACCCGAGTTTGCCGGGGAGCCAGCCCCGCGGACAACGGGCGGAGGAGGAAACGAGGAGACATCAGCCGCGGGTTCGCAGCCTCCCGCAGCCGCGGGTTCGCAGCCTCCCGCAGCCGCAAGTTCGCGGCCACACGCATCCGCCGAGGAAGGCCGGTGTGTGACAGCCGCAGGAGCTGAAGGCAGGGCTCGCTGCTCGACCCCAAGCTCAGACGGGAAGCCTGGTCCGGTGATGAGCAGTCCCCAGGCAGAGCGCATGACCTGGGAGGATGAGGCGAGTCTCGGCGCAGCAGTCATGCCTGTCGCTTGCGAGACTGGAGACTGGCTGACGGATGAGGAGCCAACAGCATTAGCTCGGATTTGGAGGCAGCAGCGGCGGAGCGCGCCAATCTAGGTGTGCGGGCAAGCAGGTCATCAGAGGTCTCACCGCCACCGCGGTTGCTCGGCGAACTACTAGGCACCAATTTCGGGACCGAGTGCCTGGCCCTGAGGTGGTGTGAGCCGCTGCACCTCCTATGCAGGGAATACCTGCTCGTGATGCCCAGCGAAGAGGTATAAGCAGATAGGCTGCTCACTCACTGCCTCCAGTTGACCAGACAATGCAACAAAGAAGTGCGGCGACGCCACCAGCAGGAGGCTCTCCAGGAAGCAGCAAGGCGCAAATAAGCGCCACTATTGCCCCAATAGGGCCCGAGTCCGGGCCGCGGCACTATTCCGCCAGAGAATCTCCTTGTTAGCCGTTGGCCTTTGTGTATTGGATCCTCGGTGGTCGAGTGACCGGGTCCCTGAGGTACGCGGGTACGAAAGAAGTTGGTGCGCGACATCATAGCATGGTTTGCGCGTGTTATTGTTGCCCTTAGGGATGTTTCCGTTTTTGGTAGAAATATTGTATCTTTTTTGTCTAAATAACTAGCAGACGGAGAGATGAGGGGGTGCGCGCGGGTATGACCGACTTTGCCAGTCATGACTACGGGAGATACTGTCACCACAAGGAGGATTTCGGATTGGCTGCGGAATAGAACTTCTTTGCAACATCACATGGCAAGAGTATGTAGTGTAGTGCCTGTGACGGTATAGGAGGGACTGTCAAGCGACTAGTCACCAACGCTAGCCTGCAGCGCCAATATAATGACCAGATTCTGACAGCGAACAAAATTATGGATTTCTGCGTGGAGAATATCCCTGGTATCACGTTTTTCAATGTGACACCAGAAGATGTAACTCAATCAGCTTCAGAGTTAAAGGACATGTTTGACCTGGTGAAAACTATTAAAGGGACACTGCAATATCACAGATTCGTTCCAGTCTCCAACTCTACGCTACATGTGTACAAGTTGAGTAACCAAGATAGCCCTGCGGATTTAGTACATGTTTCAGACAGTAATGATGCTGAACTAGAACCAGAACCATCTGTGCAATCAGAAATAAAGGAACAAAACTTTGTCTGCTGTCTTTATGACGGCTTTCCGTGGATTGGCATGGGGGACGAAATTTCGGAGGAGTTTGGTAACTACCACATCAATTTCATGCACCCTCATAGACCAACCAAGTAATTCAAATAGCCATTGGAATCAGATCAATGCTGGGTTACAGAATATGATATTCTGTGTACAATCAACACCCCATCTCTTACATCATCCTCTTCCAGAAAGTACTTTATCTCAGAAAACGATGCTGCAAGGATTTTAAGTGTGCATCCGGACTGGATCATTGATGATCAATGAATTATTGATAATTGAGAACATGGTAATATAATGATTTTTCACTAGACTGGATAGTAATTTAGAATGTTATTGCCAACTGTCATTCTCAATCAGGTTATGTACAGCAAAACCAATGTTTGGGTTTAACTTGATATATTAAATAGATTGGGATGGTATACACATGTACATACATGTACAGCATTGCATAGGAATAGGCGTTATTGCACATAGTATGCCAACTTTGAGAAGAGCTAGAAAGCAAACAAAAAATATTATATCTCGAATTTTTTTTTATTATGTAGAAAACATGTTAAGGTATAATTTTCATAAAGTTCATCTCAAGGTTACGTGATCCACAAGCTCAAATTCAAAGTCAAAGTAAAGGTCAAAAGGTCATCAAACGCCTACATAACAAATAATGGCAGATATTGATTGCCTATGCAATTAGCTTTCCAATGACACCAATATCAACAAATTTTGCCCAGAGGTTACAGAGATATGACCATTTGAAAATTGACGAGCGCACCCATTTTGGCAAAAATCGCCAAAAAAAGGCAGGGCGTAGCGGGAAAACCTTCCGTCCGACAAAGCTAAAATTTCAGTTTTTTTTAGCCTAAATTACCCCATAAACCAAATGTCAACCAAGTTAAAAAGGGTAAGGTGTAACCCATTGGGTGATCTGACACGGAATGGGGTTATGACAAAATTCTGTCGTGCTGTGGCGCGCTGGGCGTTGTTACCGATGCGGTCTTGTTTTTGCAATACATTTGTGTGCGTCTGCTCGGCAAATAGGTTGTCGACAAGTTTAATTTAAGTTCTTACGATGGCAAACGAAGTAAATTATGGAGAGTGGAAACTTCCCCAGTTGCGAGAAGAATTGAAAAAACGCGGGGTAAAGGTATCTGGAAGGAAGAAAGAGCTCGTAGACAGGTTTGTAAGAGAGTTCGAATTCAGACCTTTTTGTCACTCACGAGTCAACTAGTCTACTCGGCTACTGAAACACAGGCTCGTAAACGGTTACTTATATTTACAATACAAGTCCGTGATCATATTCTAGTCTTTAAAAAACTTTGTTTTTAGTTTAGTATGAGCTAAAAGTTATATTTTTTATATTATTTAGCTAGTAGTAGTAATAGTAGTATTGCATGGTTCGCACAGTCCTTGAAAAGTCGTTGAATTTGAGGAAAGTCCTTGAAAAGTACTTGAATTTAGTAAATGTTGATGTTGTGCTTGAAAAGTCATTGAATTTCATGAAAATTTCCTTGAATTTTTAGAAAGAGTCCTTGCCTGTAAAAAAAAAATTTGTACTATCATAGTATCAATAATTAATGTGCAAACTTCAATAAAAATAAAACTCGAGCTTATAAAAACTAAAAAAGCTATATATAGTCTAGTCTAGACAGTTAAATGATGATAAAAAATTACAGTAAGTCAGAAAATCAGTCAGTAAATCAAGGTATGTTGTAGAAGTGACAGTGTTAATTAGAAGGGTTTATTAATGTGATCCAGGTAAGTTTTAGAGGTGACAGTTACTACTGGCACTACTGGTAGTGGTAGTGAGTGGATTGAAAAATTGGCTGTTTAAGTAAAATGTTGTTTCTGTACATCTAGACTGTGTGGATTAGACAACTTGGGAAGATTGGCATCCCAAAATATCGAGCCAGAGTTTGTGATGGATGTCCCAGAGCCCAAGGCATACCAAGACATACATGCTGGTATGTCGACCGTGGTAACGATTTCTCAGCAGCGACTCATAGACTACCTCCGGTCGAATGAGAAGGAGTATGACGAAAAAGTTGAAGAAATGTATAATGAAAGGTAAGACATCTAAATTGATACTCATATTAGTTAGAATAAACAGGATCAGTGTGTGAGAATGGGATCATCAATTCTTGTAGGAATCAGTTTTTCAACAATGTTGTTTGGTATTATTTCCATATTCTGTTATGTTACAAAACATTTATTTCAAGTACAAAAAAATGTGCAGAATGAACATAAACTGCAGTCCAGTCACAAAGTTTCATTACCCAGATTATTGATACAAAAATACTATAGTTGAACATATATAAATAATGTGTTGTTCTTTTTCTGTTTTTCACAGATATGTAAGATTCATTCGAGTTGCAGATGGGGATGGAAAACAATTTCTGCGAGGGTGTGTGTGGGCAGAAATGAGGAAGAACGTGTCCTATGATGTTGATGTCAGTATAGATCAAAATGGAGTGGTCCAAGAAGCTCAGTGTGACTGTGCTGCAGGCCAGGGCCCTACAGCACACTGCAAACACGTGGCATGCATCCTTTACTGTGTGGTCCAGTTTGGAAAATGTAAAAAGATAATAACTGAAGTCACCTGTACACAGGTAACTGACAACACTGTTTGTTGATTTATTGTAGTTTTACATGTGAAAATTTATTGACAGTTTTCCCCCAACAAGTAGCTGTCTATATAATAGCGATTGTGGTAATTTTAATTCATCTCTAAATTTGTAATTCTAATATTACATCTTATGATTTCTTTCTTATTCCAGAGACTTCAAACGTTTCACCATGCTAAGGCATATAGAAGTTCCCCCATGAAAGCTGCTAAGCTACATGACATGAGAGGACATTCATTCCGATATGATCCACGTCCAGAGGAATACAGAAATCAAGAAGGCTACCCTGACCATTTCCAGAATGCAGTTATTAATTACCAGGTTTGTTTGCTTAATTTAAAACTGAAATGAAACTAGAGTAATGAAAAAATCTACAGAAGTGTTATAACACACTGCACTTATATTAAGTTTGGTAGCAATTACAAAGACACATTTTACAACACTGGATTCTTTTAACTTTAATTATATATTTCTAAACTGTTTCTCCTTAACAAGGTACATGAAAAAACCCACAAATCCTTACTTTTTATTCGTAATTTCTATTTTAGCTAAATATAGAGCACTTAATTAAAGCTTATATTAGCAAAATATTGAGTTATTATTGTTTATTTTTCAGGCCAGCTGTGGTACAAATAACAAAATGCCAGTCGTACAGCTTTACCAGCCAGCCAATCCACATGCTCTGAATTTCATGCATGACTATGTTATGCGTTCAGATGAAGCTTTTCTACGTAAATCTAAGGTACATTGTAACCCTGCTTAACATACATGTTAGCTTGCAAATTTAACTTCAACCTACCAATGCTTTTACAACATACTTGGGTGTGACAATTATTTGGCCATAAAATAAAATATCAAGGTCGACTTTAGGTCAAGGTAAATTTTTGGACAATTACATCCCTCGTTCAAATCTGGGTCGCTCCATAACCTGATCACTCTTCTCACTACACATGCAGCATTAATGTTCACTGGAAAAACTATCATTTTGCTTTTCAGCTGAAAGAAATCTCTGATGATGATGATTAATAAGATCGAAGAAAACACACGGGACCAGTCCAGCCAGCAAGCTGTGGAAGGCGGAGCGCAGCAAGCGGCATTACGCGTCGAGGTTCGGATCCATAATAATAGCAACGCGCCGCCAAAATTCCAAAACTATTAGCTGCCAGCCATCATCGGGCAAAGATCCATCCACTACGCGATACACTAGCCATGGAATAAAATATGAATCTTAGGCGGTTAAGAATTCGAGAAAGCATCGGATTGCTGGTGAAGAGATGTGGATTATTTGTTGACAAGGAGTACCCTTCTTGGCAGCTACTCCAGATGGTGTAGTAGACGATCAAATCATACTGCGAAGTAAAGTGTCCATTCGTGCCAGAACTATAATGATCAACGAAATCACAGTGCCATATCTAAAACGCGAATGTAATGGCGAATTAACATTAAGTACATCACATGATTACTATGCCAAGTGCAAGGCCAGTTAAGATGCTCAAAAGAGAGAACAATGTTTATTTTTGTGTTTTTACACTGAAATTTCAAATATTTACAATTAAGCGCAATGAAAAGTTTATTGATGACATGCTGCAGAAACTAAAATTGTTTATTAATAATACAATTCGAACCAGCTTTGATTGACCATTTCGTTAAAATCTTACAGTCAGTTTTTTTTGAACATCTCTTTGAGCATCTGGCCTTGCACTTGAGTGCCACAAATGGACACTTTACTTCAAGTATGCTTTGATCGTCTACTACAGCTGTGCTCACATTGTATTTGTATTCTTTGTATTGATTGTAACTGTCATTCTGAGAGGCATTATTGCAGTTTTTATAGATTTCCGTTATTAGTATTGAAGCGCAGCGTATCAATAAACGTACATTGTAGTATTGATGACAACGTTATCAGTATTGAAGCCGCGTATCTATAAACGTGCATTGATGTATTGATGACAACGTTATTAGTATTAAAGCAGCGTATCATATAAACGTACATTGTAGTATTGATGACAACGTTATCAGTATTGAAGCAGGTATCTATAAAACGTCATTGTAGTATTGATGACAACGTTATCAGTATTATATATTATATACATCTATTATATATATTTAACATATATATAGTGCAGTAGCCTAAATAAGTAAGATTCAAGGCAAGGCCTCATCTAAAATAAGTAAGATTCAGAGCAGAGTTTACTGACATACCTCAGTAGTGGAATGAACTAACTGCATTGACCACGTTATGGTCACCTACTTCCCGTACTGGATATAAGCCACCGATTCAGACCTGACACGTGCTGCCTTCCTGCTACTACTACACATCGTCAGTCAGTGAGATATGCTTGCTTATACTCTGTGGTTATTTAGTTAAGTCTTCGAAACTTGTTGACGGTTCACAGCATTGAGTGTCACTATGTGCTATTGATATGAAATTAAGATATTCTATGGTTAATCTTTCCTTCATGTACTGTATGATGTATCGACACACCATTGTTGTAAGTGTTCGGCACACATATCTAACCAGCACACTATTCGATCACCACGCAATTTAATATATCGTGAATAAATATTATTTATTGGGGCACAATTTTGTTTGGCCTTTATCTTTATGAATGTTTCCTTAAGCCTAGGACACTGTGCTATATCACTTCTGACTTTATTTATTTTCTCCTGTTACGGTACATGCTAACACGGCCAGCGTACAGAATCGCTAGTGTGTCCTAGGCTTTATGCATCATCTGGTATAATGCAGGGCCTGAAGTTAATAAGTCTGCATATCACTGTGCTTATTTCTGTTGCCATTGAAGAATCTATGTGGTTCATGGGTATTTGTAAAATCTTGTAGGTTTTGGCCAGGCCTATGATACGTTCTATATGCACTCTCTTACTAGCGATTTTCCTGTCTTGCATAACTGATTTGTTGCTGAGGCGGTTCTTCTTTTAAAAAAATGTTGGTATGTTCATTGCAATATTATGTGGTATGAATAGATCTTCGACATTGAATCCTTTGTCGGCCATGATTTCATCGCTCGGATCACAGAGGCCTTGTAAATTGGATCGCTCTATTATTTGCCGATCGCTGGCTGAACCGCAGTAGGCAGGGGATACATATGACGCTAAACCACCTGGTGTTGAACCCACAAGTATTTTCATAGTGTTTTTGTTTTTGTACGTTGAAAAAGATGCTTGTTGAGGTAGTGGGTTCTTTGGTTTGTGGATGGGGAATTCTGTACCATCTACTATGACTCGTGTTTTTGAAAATTTGGCTCTGAAATCAGTGGGTGCGAAATATCCAACTAATTTTTGTAAAGGCTACCAGTCTATTTCATTCCACTGATGGAACATAAAGTTGATCCAAGTAATAAAAATGTTCGCTACAGCTCTTTCATCGATTTGGAAAAAAAAACCTAACTCTCTATTTGGGTGTCCTGTCCGAAGCTTCATCAATGTGAGATACAGCTGATTTGCAATGCTGATCTTGGGTATAGCTTTCTTGTAATAATTGAGGTGGTACGCTGCATCTCCAAGCGAATGAAGGACTAAGTTGAATCTGCTCCTATCTCCTAAACCAGTGTAGTAATGGATTTCTTCATCGGTTGAATTCTCAATGTTGAAGCGAGAATTATCGGCTACAGTACTGTATACGGTGATAGAATCAGTCTGTGTACCAGAAGATACGTGTGTACATGCATCTTCAGTAGTCTCATGTAGTACTTCCGATGCCTCCCCTGAAATAACTTCAACTTCCTCGCCTACTTCCACAAGACTGTGTTCTGTTCGCTGCTGCTGCAGCTCCTCACGTTTTCGTTGTCGCTCACGCCTCCTCTCCGCTGCACTGCACTTTGGTGTACTCCATCCAAAAAGATGTGGCACAGCATCAGAATTCAAGCGTCTATTTAGTGGTTTACCACCTATGAAAATAGGAAAGCCCAATACACTCACCGCACAATTTATAATTGGCTATACAGGTAAAAAAATTTAACACGCAAAATTGTAGTAAGCGGGTCCTTTTTAATGTTACCTATTATATTGTAAATTTTATTTTCCCTATTCAATAAAAAAGAAACTTATGAAAATATCTAATGCAATTATACGGCATGTATATCTGTACTGTACTACCATTCCGAAATCTGAAAAATTCTGAATTCCGAAACGTGTCTAGTCCCAAGGGTTTCGGATAATAGATTGTGTACTGCAGTAGGGTACAATAAACAGGAAATCGGCATAGATTTAATAATAGACTTCGTTTTACAAGACAATAACATGAATTTCTACAGACTACAGCTATGTTACCATATATGTAGACTACACAGTATACACGCTGAACACACCATAATAGTTAGCCGAGTGATAGTCATTATCGTCGAAATGTCCATGGCATACTCTGGCTGCCTGGCCTGGTTCCCAAATAGCCTTCTTATCATCCGACAACCGTTTAATAGCTTGCAACCACCTTTTACGTAACTCAATAGACTTTGGAAACGTTAGTGATCCTTGTCGAGAGCAACCAGGTACTGAGCATTGAGGCATTACGACGTTATTGTTACGAGGAATACGACAACTACTAATTAAAACCAAGACTAAGAGTAATCGTTGCTACTTACGCTTACTCGTTGCTAGGCGGGACCATTCCATAATGTAGCGTCCATAGCATCAGTGGGTGCGGTGTACTCGTGTGTTGCAGACGAGTATTTGAACGCCAGAACGGCATTAATTATAGGAAGTTATCGGCAATAATGCCAACAATAGGCGAAACAGAGTAGAGAAACATTAAGACTTCGGTACTAAATACATTTCGTGTTTATTTACCATTGCTTTTTTGTTATTGAGACGGTCCAAGTGCATGTGCGTCAACCAATCTATGAGGTGTCACGATGTAAACAAACGAAATTCGGAAGGAGCAGAAGATCAGCTCGCCATCACGTCGTCAATTCATTTATATGATGATAGCAGATCGTATAGTCTTTTAACAGACTCAAGTACAAAGTGCTAATTAAGTTCGTATACATCACGAATTGACTGTCTTTGCTATGAATGGAAATTAACTGCTAATATTTATTAGTCGGAGATGCTGCCACACTGCATAAACTGCCTGAGAGTGATTTCCACTTCCGGTAACAACGCTATGAGCGCCATCTGGTTTGTACCACGTGACTGCCATAACCCCATTGTTTTGTTTGTTTACATATGTATTTATAGATGGTCACCGTCAATATTAAATTTACGCTCCGATAGCGTTCAGTAGAACTATGCGCCCATCTGCATAGCACTAGAAGTGACGTTGCACCCAGTACCGGAACCTTGCTGGCTAAAAGTGTTTTGTCTCTAACGCCACGTGCATACAGTGAGATACGTGCATACGTGAGAAGGAAACACATTAGAATCTTATAATTACGAGCGATGAAATGCTTTTTCCAGATTTCACTTATCGAAAAGCGGATAGCTTTAAAGAATAACATATCATTAGCAATATGGACAACAGTCGATCCACTGAAGTTACGTTGATAAAACGCAACTTACCAGCGGCAGCTGGTGACGGTCGTACGGATACTGTCAACACGTTATTAAGTGCAGGCGCTAACATAGAACACGCGGACGTGAATGCCATGACAGCAATAATGTGGGCAGCTGAGAACGGTCATGCAGATACAATCACAACGTTATTAAGTACGGGCCCTAAACAGAACAAGCAGACATGAATGGCTGGAGCGCAACAATCTGGTGCAACAATATGATGTTGGCGGCGGATATTTTATATATCTACCTATATCGGTAGATGTCACGCCGGGAATTCCTATCTCGGGTAAGCCAGCTGACGCAACTAATAAATTTTTTCCCGATGACCACTACCACGTGGTAC